TTGTCAACCGATAGACCATTTCAGTGCGTTTCATCGTAAAACAAGGTGTGTGCTGTGTTTGTTCAGTATGAAAACAAACACCAGAACCAAATATGCCGTATAATACTGAACGATAAAATTTTCCGTGATGCAATCGATCTCTGACTGGCAGATGGAATCTTTTATCATTATGTTTAAGTTGTAAAAGTTTCATAACTGCGTTTGTTTAATTTTTGATTTTTATTCGTTTTAATAATAGACAAATAAACATGCGTATTTCAATAAACTCTGCCGTCACGATTGCATGCGTCAGCGTAAACCGTCCCATATTATTAACAGCTTATCGGGGTCATTACAGAGGCGGGGACGTTATGACAGTTAACAGTTAGAATACATTCGACGGCCAGTCGCACACGTTGATAGCTGGATTGAACACTGTAGCCGGCGGACACTTCATCTGCACCGCCTTGCCGTATGCGCATCGGTAGAACTTGGTACGGTCATGTCTGTCCGGGAGGAACTCACCATGCACCGTGCAACGAACGGCGGCTGGCGTCGGACACGGCGCCGGCTCATTGCACTGAACGACTGTCTTGCGAGGCACGCACATTTCTTTTCGCAGATCGAACACCTCGTGCTCCGGACAGACCTGCCAGTAGGTGGCCGAATTGAAACACGCGTAGTAGAGTCTCTCGCATGCCCCGATGCCGACCAGTCGGTTGCGTTCTCTCAGACACGGGTTCGAGGTAAAGTCCGAGGCTGGTGTGGTGCAAGTCACCTGTTGCACAGTCTGCTTGACGCACCGTTTCTTCACCACGTCGTATACTAGCGAGTTGCCACACGAATTGACGACCAGTTTGTACTTCTTGCACGATATCCAGTACCTAGAGCAAGTCAGTTTCATAAAGAAGCCATCTGCTCTGCCGGTGCATGGATCTGGCCAATGGCTAACGGGTGTGGGAGGAGTTGTTGGCATTGACGCACACCAGCGGTTTTGCGACGCGTCCACACAGCTCTGTAGTTCTTTCGAGAAAGTTTTTCCTTTTTCGCAAGTGTGCCATGATGGTCGTTGATACAGGCAAACTAGATAATTCGGGGAGCACGCTGTGACCGCGTACAGTCCGTTGGGCTGACCGAAACATGGGTTGTTGAAACGTTTCTGTCTTTTATAAGTGACAACGTCGACGTCTAAATGACAGGTGCTGTGAAACTGGGCATTGGAACAGGAGTTGAGAGAGTCGACGAAGATCGTATTCTCTGGGCATAAGTTATAAGATGCGATACCTTTATCACACTGTATGTATGCTCGGGAACATGCTCCAAATGCGAATTTCACGTTCCCCAATTGCAGGCACACTTGTAATCGTGCCGAAGCGCTTCGAACTGAACCATTGCATAGCGAGTGGTCCTTGAAGCTTATACAGCTTTGCTGTTTTTCGGAAAAAACATCTTTTTCCACGCACGTCTGAGGATAAGCCTGACCATTTAGACACACTGCGTACAACTGAGAGCAAGGTAACACAGCTATCATGGATTGTTTCCGATTTTGGCAGATGGCCGAAAGACGGCTTGATTGCGTGCTGACACCGCATGAGCTCGATGGGACACAACGTTTCTGTACTGCGTCATATGCATTGCCTTTTTGACAGAAATGAATGCTTCTTGATGATGAGGAGCATTCGATGTACCACTGGCTACACTTTCGTGATAAACCCGCTGCGCTATCAGTGCGCTGACAGGAGTAATCAGCTAATGATAGCAGTAGATTGTTCTGGCCGACGTTCGCGTCTTTTTGGCAGGCCATATTCGCAGAGAAACTCTTGCAGTATCGACTTTGTTCATCGAAATAATGGTTAGGGGGGCAGACAACAACTCTACCCCGATTAGCAACACACATCACGATGTGTTGAGGACAACGTGATGCTCTTGGCATATAGATTCCATTCGGTATGTCAGAACAAAACTGATCTGACTCGATCACTCTTTGCACAGCGATCAGTCCTGAGCCTTCCTCAGTCGAAGGCCGGAAAACCGTAGACCTGCAGAGCGACACCGAAGTCGCTTCTACACAGCCCTTGTTTGGGACAAACACTCTGTTGCCAGCGCAACGAGAAAGAACCATTATTTGAGCGTTGCAGCGCGCAAAGTACTGGTTGCAAGCAGAGATCGGCAGAATCGTGCCATTGGCAATATTATTGCAGTAGCTATGGAAAGGCATAACTCGAAATCCGGCAACGCAATCAGCATTTTCAGCAACTCTCACACACTTTCCCACTTTTTCACTGTATACGTAATCACGTTCGCAGTGACCTGGATAATAGCTTCTATTGAAACATATGGCATACTTATGGCTACAACTTTCAATACCGTATACACCATTTGGTTTAGTGCTACAGATATTGTTCTCATCTGGCGAACTT